TTCGATACTTACTGTAGTCCGTTGTCAGATGAAATTAATGAAAGTGAGGTGATTGTGGGTAACGTAACGTGGCTACGTCACGTTGCCGTCAAGCGCGACGTAACGTTGTCGTGGTAACGACGGAATCTTCTTCTGGTTTATTGTTGTTATAATAAAAATGATTATTATTACTATTAAACAAAAAGCATTTAAAATACAGTTAGTAGCCATCGTCATTCCGATGTGGGGGGAGTGGTTTTCACCATCATTATCATCATATATTTTTTAAATGACTAATATTGGCCTACAATACCCCTTTATTGATGAAATAGGAATATAATTGTCTTTTAAATAACGTAAACTAAAGGGAACAATCTATTTGACACAGCTGAAGCTCTGGCCTTCCTTAAAAAATAACTAATTTAATAAAAATCACAGTTGTATTACACACAATGCGCTGTTTTTTGAGAACACACATTTGGTAAATAATGCACCATAATGCATTCTGACGAAAAATAAAAATTATTATGAATACAAATAAAATAAAACAAGCCTCCCGTGAGTTACTACAAGCTATAAAGTAGATTTTAAAAACGTTTTATAGAATAAAAAGCTCACTGCAGGACGTTGTAGAAATGCCTGTGTGCACCACGACAAAGGAGCCTCATTCACTTTACTTTGGCGTTGTTTGCGTGGTGCCGACACGTAAATGTAACAAATGTCGTGACTCCACCACGCAATGCGGTCTTAAGGAGTCGTGGTGGAGTCACGCATTCTGGTGAGATCAAATAAAAGCAATAATTGTGGCTTGCTATTGAGTAAGAACCGTAAGAACATGTTTTCATGAACCACACAGCTTCCGGTCTTCCTATAACACGTAATGCCGTGAGACTACCAATAGAAATACATTGCTTTTAAAATCGTGCTGTGCAACACGAAAAAAAGGGGAAAATCGTGTTGGTGAACACGAATCAATAGATTAAAAATCGTGTTGGTGAACACGAAATGCCATGAGACTGGGTTGGGTTTTAAGAGTGAGCTAATTACCAAAACAGCTACTATTTACCCATTTTCTAATCTCTCACAGGGCTGTCAGCGAGTGTTTCCAAGGTAAAGACTGAATGCCTGACTCAAGTAAGTAAACGTCAATAGTTGTTTGTTTTAATAAGCTACTTCTGAGTGCTGTGTTGATGTTTTTCTAGGAAATGTGATAGCATCTGCTGGCTGCTTATTTCTGCTGTGTTGTGAAGCTAATTGTGAAACGCTTTTGTTATGCTAGTTAAGCTTCTTATGGCTTGTCTGTTATGATGTTTTCATTGTTCTGTGTGATAGTATTTTCTCTGTTTGTTGTTGTTATTGTGGGTTTCTTATTGTCTCGCTGCAGACTAATAGAGGTGAAATAGTGTGTTGGCTTGAAGGCTGTAAACATTCTTGTGGTCGTGTACACAGCAGCCTATTGACATTTTGGATTGAGCCTGAAAAGTGCTATTTGGTCCCTTCAGCTAAGCATTAGAGAAACATTTTCCTCTTTCAGTGGGTTTATGTGACACTTTCTTTACTCTTCCTCATATCATAATCACATCTAAACTGCTGAGCTTCTGCTTCATGAAGTACACTGTTCCCACATTCAGCTGCACTCTTTGCCACATTTGTATCTAATAGTCATGTACTGATGGTCATCTGCATCTTATCATCGCTTCACAACATTTCATAAGAGAAGATTATCTGCTTCAACTCATGAATATTGAGATACTGTTAGCAATTATCGTAGCCTAGTGATGCATGTCAGATTCAGGTGTTTAGATTTGTGGGCCCCTTATACCATAAGACTCCAACTGTTTTTAATGCAGCACTGGGGGGACGTTTATCATGGAAAGTTTCCTCTGCTGTGCAAACCTTGGTGCATTGAAGGAGTGATGAAAGGCTGCAAGCCAAATATTAACACGGTACCATGTGAATTATGAGCATATTCACTTGCTGTAGGAGTTATTACAAGGAGAAATACTATGAGAAATAATATGAGCAAAAACATGAATTTCTTAAAAAAATAAGTATAGAAATTCCCCAGAGTAGCGTGTGTTTGTGTACCATACATCAAAGTGTATCTATACTTTGTGTGTGTTAATCACATTTTCACTCTTAAATGTATCAAGATCTTACATTTGTGAGTGACAAACACATCCATTCCCCATATTTCCTGCAGCAGCAAACGATGCCACCACCATAATAAGTGATGATACTATGAAATTATTTTTGATGTATAGCTTTTCTTAAATATTGAATGATGCCATCTTTACGCTTTCATCTTCGGCTACTGATGGACTACTGAGAGATTTCACAAAATGGTTCCATTTGGTTCTTTGAAGAACAACAACGGTGTGTCATGAAATGTGAGCAACTCAACTCTAATCTAAAGGCATTCTCATGTGTTGGAAAATATAACATTTGGAAATCTCAGATGTTAGGATAACGAGGAATATTACACAAAAGTGACAAACTTTAGTATTCTCTTTCATCCTAAAGTTGGTTTAAAGGGAACAATTTAGCAAAATCCTTAAGAATGAAATGCTTTTATGTTTAAAAAGAGAAAGAACGACAACAACATTCTCTTAGTGAAAGGCTTTTCCTCTAATTCATTTGCCCGAAAGCGTCCTTTTTACTGTTCTCATAAACTTATGTATGCGTTGTTGCCAGTTAGACAATTGTATATCTGGAAAAGGAAAGGCACAGAACTAAAACAAATTTAATGAACTGCATTTTAAGTGATCTCAGGACATTTCCCTTCAAGCTCAGAGCAACTTTTGCATTTTTTCAACTGGACTGAAGAGACTATCACTAATGGATCCAAGAGCAATATATACGGTTTCAGTACAGCTGCAGAAAACAGCCTGAAGGACTTGTTTCCATAATTGCCACCCAATTAATGAGCTCACTAAAACTGTGTGTCCTGCAGCAGTTTCCTCCTCTTTGTCCTCAAATTCAAGCCATATTCAAACACATGTCCTTTGGAAGATAAACATTCCCTTTTATTAGTTTATGCTCCCGGACCATTAATTTCTGCCTGCTGTGGTCTAACACAATCCCCAATATATTTCTCAGTTGTATAAGAGAGCAAACATTTAATACTTTCATATTTTTTGTTTTACATAACTTTCTCTAACCTTTTTTATTTCTTCTTTGTGACAACTTATACTATATCTTACAATTGTGGAATCTGCAAAGCTGACGTTAAACTTTAAAATGATCACTAGATTATCTTGAGACACTTACTGTTTGGGGTTTTTCAAAGACTTTTATAAGTATGGCGTCATTCACGCAGCTGTCGTGAAAGCAAGACCTCAAAATATGTTTTTGCTTGATATCTGCTTTTCATACACATTTCTAATTTCAAACTAGGGCTCAGCTCTGCACAATAGATCCTTTTTATTGACGTAGTGTTTTAGCTGTTATTGAAAGCAGGACAATAAAGGCACAGCATGAATGCTACAGATGCTTACAAACGGGCTCAGGAGTGTAGCAGATAAAATACATTGTAATAGAAATTCTGTGTTGGCCTGTGGACTAAATAATGTGCTGCAGGTTTTTTAATTGATATAAAAAATAAAATAATTTTATTAAAATATCATCAGTATGCAATATTATTATTCCTCACTAGATCAATAACAAATGCATTTGTAGGTTGGATACAAAGGAAACCACCTGTTGTGTAACATTTGACAGTGTATTTTCACTTCTTTTGTGAATAAATATGTCATTTCTAACTTTTTAATTCACCACAAAAGCTGGGTAAGTAACTTGGCCCGCTTCACTTCCATAAAGATTTTAGCAGTCGTGGACAAAAACAGTGAAGAGGACATAAGCATTAAATAGCTTGAAGGATCTATAACAGGATTTTTTCAATTGAGCTGAAATACCCCTCCTAAATATATATGCCCCCTTAAAGTGCAATTCAGAGGCACAAAAGTGAACAGATTAGAAAAGATTTGCTGATAAAGCCCTGGCATGTGAATGACTTTGTGTAATTGGGGCGTTTTGGAAAGCCAGCATTGTTGGAGAGGAGAGCAATTTTAAAGAAACTCATGGGCTGCAGGTGCAGTGGCAAAATGTGACGTCTATTTCCTTTTGTTAGAAAATATGTTGCCTAATTTTCATTGTAGATGAGATGATGAATATCAGCTGCTACTACTAGAGTTATTCTGTTCGACCTACATGTTATTCAAATGATGCAGACAAAGAAGCATCTTTGTGACTGGAATGGTTTGTCAGAGATGGTGTCTGACAGTGTTGTAAATATCCGTCTTGTGTTTGTCTGAGGATAATGTGAACATCCGAGAAAATGCTCTCGGCTGGTTTCAGTTATGGAATTGTTTGTACATAATGTGTCGTACACAGATTTGAGAAAAATGCATCATTTAAATAAAACTGTTATTTATATTCATGCCGTCTTTGTGCCGTACTGACGGGCTAGTATTAGCCTATTTGCAGTGAGCAGGAATAAAATAAGAAACAAATCTTTTCATTTTCCCTGCAGTCTTTCATTTCCAATGTTGTCTGCTGCAGCAGTTCACAGAATTACGACAGGTATCAGTGAGACGTTTAACCATTTAGATAAATCATTGAGTTGCTGTGACTCGGCCCCGGAGGTTTAATTACGTAAATCTATTCCGAGTCTTAATGGAAAGCATTGATTGGATTGACATAAATGTGATGATGTGCTCACATGCTTCCTTACAAGTGGCTTTCAGCGTGAAAAAAGCCTTGAGCTGCGTATAAAACTTTGATGAAAACGTTTTTTTCCACAGAACTTTTTTAATTGTTAAACATGAGCTCAAAGAAGTCAGCTGTTTTGTAAATGAACGTACAGGAACAGCTGGTTCATAAAACTGCTTTTTGAATTTGCATAATCAGAGAACTTTCATATTTTTTTGCTACTGGAATTTGCTGAATGAAAGCAGGAGAAGCTGCAGACACTTTGCAGCAGGTTGTGTTTTAAGTGGGACCAAAATGATTTGAGGCTTTGGATGATATACACGCTGCATAATCTTCTCTTTGTTTGTTAGATTCTTAGACATGAAAGGGAAAAGCACTTTGTTAGACTGCATACATTTGCTAAATGTCTGTACTGTGGCTGTTATGAACAAGAACTCTAGCTCAAAGGGAAAGATGCTGGCATTGCTTTGCAAAAATGAAAACAGGCACCTCTTCACCACTTCAAGTCGTCTGCTTATTGAGAAACTATTAAATATAAGGAGATAAACACTGACATAGAAGCCTTTCAAGGTCCTATTATTGCCTTTAATCTGAATAAAGCCTACACGCTTCAGATGTATCTGCTTTGTTCTCCATGTCTGATGCTTACATAATTGGAATGAACTCAGCTCATTAAAGAGCTACAGTAAGCAGCCGCTTTAAGCTTGATGACTAAGTGGTTCTCGGTTTGTTAAATCACAAACAGAACATCTCACAGCCGTCTGGAGAGGGAGGGTTTCGGGTGAAACAGAGGCCATTAGTACGCTATTCATAGGTCACATTGATGAAAGGCTCAAAGTTTAACATTTGCAGTCTAGAGAATGAAAATAATTAAACCAACTTTAAACAATATTATCACAACCAATGAGTGTCTTAAAGGGGCCTTATTTGCTCACTTTCAGGTTCATATTTGAATTTTGTGCCTCTACTGTGACAAGGTCTTTATTTTTCTCATACTGCCTGTGCTGCAGCACCTCTTTTCACCCTCTGTTTGAAACCAGAGCCCAGTCTGCTCTGATTGGTTAGCTGGCCGGCTCTGTTGTGATTGGTCTACCGATTAGAGATGTCCCACCCCTTAATCACAATCACATACAATGTGTTGGATCGCTATAGTCAATAGAAGCGCCAGTGTTACATGATGTCCTGATCTTAACAATGTAAAACAAGGAGTTCAATGGAGGTCTTTCAGACAGGGGGGGTCGAGGCGGGGTTCGAGAGAAACTCCCTCTGGAAGGAAATTTGGGATTTTAGCCTTTCCAGACCATTTACATGCACACAAACCTATATATCCCCCTTCAGGAAAGGGTAAACCCCCAAAAGCTTATAGGGCCCTTTTTAAAAGTATCATTTATACTTCAAAACTATGTAATATAAATACAAGAACTTGACAGAAACCTAATCGAGTGATACAAATACAGTTTAGCTTGGAAGCTACAAGTTTTAATAAAAATAGAGCTTTGAAAGAATAAATATTAGGCCTAGTGGACGGATACAAGACTCTAAATAAATGATAATGTTAAGTGATAAGTTACTGCTGCATATCAACCATATCATGTAAAAGGTGATGATATACCTTTTTGTTATTAGCTTTAGGGCACAAAAAAATCCTTAATATGAAATACACAATGTGCCTATCATTGCAAATGATTATTTTATGCATTACATTAAATAAGCATGAGTTGCATAACATGCAGCCATGTTTGTTCTAATTTCTATTCCATATATACATTGGCAGTGAGTTCATTGTTTGGTTGGAATAAAGCACTTAAAATATACAAGAAAACTGTTTTCATAGACATATGAACTGGAATAAAAAAGTTAAGATTACAAAATGGTGTTCCTGCACCTCTTTTTTCAGGTCTGTAATACTTTCATACAAAGAATCACAAGTGTATCATTATCTGGCAGCGCCCTCCAACATATTATCACACTGGTGGAGTGCTCTGAATAGATTATTCATAGTGCCTGATAACTGTGTGGGATGTCTGCGTAGGAGTGGGGATAGAAGCAGGACCCACTGTACGACTAACAGCTGATGTCTTCATCGCATTCACAACAGGCCTTTAATTCAACCATCATACATTTGATAGTTACTTTAGTTTTACAACAGCACTATGGGAAAAAAACAAGTGAGGTAAAGTGGTCTGAATTTGCCGCCTCTGTTGAAAATCGATCCTCTTATTTTAAACAAATCCATAAAACTGTGTGTGCTCTTGGAATTGGTTGAAAACAAATTATTTCTGCATGATCGACTAATGTTCCAAAGCTCAAAGATATTCACTCTACAATCATATTCAAAAGAGAAAACCAGCTATTCCTCATATTTGAGAAGCTGGAACTTGTGATTGTGAATGTGTATGTCACTGCTCTACATAACTTGACTTGACTAATTCTGTACAACGTTGGTCGAGGTTCCAGAGAGAATTATCTCCAACGCAACTCAGGACATCCTGCAATTTCAAAATGGCCAAGCTATTGCCAAATTGCGGCATTTTTGTATTCACTCTAAGCACAAAAAGAGAAACTCCCTCTGGCGTGAACTGTAGGATCTGCAGGCAAGGAAATTGGCCTTTTACAGACCATTTACATGCACAAAAACACAGAGCAGGAAAGGGTAAACACTATAAAGCCTAATATCGCCACTTTAACGTCATTAGTTTGCTCATATTTTGTCTGAAGAATCGACAAATTAACATTACAGTCCGCTGGTGGGACTGAGAAAAAGTCAGGGGATGGCTAAAGTCCAAGGTAATGCATCGTTGATACTCAGTTGGGATGTGACCAAAAATATTCATCTTAGAATGAAATGTGAAATTATAGAAATATGTGCTCTACTGTACTTTTGTCTTGCAATGACACGATTTGGGAGCCTTTCTCATTTACGACTAATTACAAATTATTTTAATTTATCCTTTCTTCAGGAATATTATGGTAGAATTGCAATTACCTTCCTTTTTAATGAGCCTTGAGTCAAATGAAAGTAACCATTTTCCGCTTCGACATGTGCAACAGAGGTATTGCTTATTAGTATTCTTGAAGCATTTGCATAGGGTAAAGGCTTTATTTGAGATGTAATCATGTCTCAAATGAACGGAACAAAAAGTTTAAACATGATGCTCATCGGAGGTTGAATAGAGACACTCCCTGAAGATGAAACATGCCGGTAAAAGCAGCGGATGACGCGTAGAAGACCATGTCGGTGCATTAAGCTTTATATCAGGAATACCAATGCTGAACAGCGCCCTGAAATTCTAATTGCGTTCCTGTTAATCAACAAGACTGACAACAGGCAGGGCGAGCTCTAGAGGACTGGGAGGAAATCTATTAACATACAATATGTTGTTGTGCTTGTTAAAATAATGGAAAAGCTCTATGGTGGGGGTGGCTGCGGTAGGTGCATTGTTCTCCTCACTGTCGCTTTAGTTAATTGCAAATCCGAACCCTTTAAAGCCTTATGGAAGTTTGTGCAGTTTGACAAGCTGCATGGAGACTTGAACTCCACCCCCCCGATGAATTGTGTCTCAGGATAATCCTAATTGAACACATATATTGGCCGGGCAGCATACGTTGTTTTGGCAGTTATTAATAACGTGACGGAGAAATAGTCTAATGCTTGGTTCCTACAACTGAAATGAGAGATAAACAAGAGTCCAGATCTCTCCGGCCTGCGGAGACCGGTAATGCTCGACTTGCCACTACTACTCCTCTAATTGGGCCCTAGGTGAACACACAATTGGGCTTTAGGGACTGGCTGGCTTAGGTTTCAGATCTTATAAATAAATCGTAGTTTATTTCAATGTTCTTGTTCTCTAAAATAAAGAACTATAGATTCCAGTCTGTCCTTGGAATTTATTTTTTACAAGTTAATAGGATATTGGTAAACAAGTCTTTAAAAAGCAATTAAATCAGTTCCGTTAACAAAGGCCATATTAGATGGTAGGTATTAACATGTCTTTAACTTCCTTTACATATGTCTTAAATAGTGGTTAAATGCCATTAGATTGACCGTCCGGTAGGTTGTTTATAGTCCTTTTGTTGTGGAGTTTGAGTAGGTGCCATTAGACATGTGTCAAACACTCATCGCCTCAAAGGGGCCAACAGGTCAGTTTTAGCAAAGAAATTACTTTAATGTATAAGTGGTTATTCCATCCTTCAATCTCATGCCCCTTATCTGGGATCCACGTAATGTTTATTAAATAATTATATTAGTGGGAAATATTGAAAAAAATGCTTGCAAAAGTTAAAAGCTGTAAATGTCAACAAATGAATTATCTCAATCGATAATAGGCCATATTGTCCCTACTGATTTCCCATCATTTTTTTTACCGGTATAGGTGTGAAATGACATTATATTTAATTCTCTGTCTAAAAAATGTTATAAAATGTTTTATAAGATGATTGGGAGAACACTGCAGGAATAAACAGCAATGTGTAACACGCTTTCAGATTTAGTCGGTTTAAATTGTCCAAGAGAAGCTGTCCTGTTTTCTTTATCATAGCAGGTGATGATTAATGAATATATATCTACATGTAATTAAATATGCCTGTTAAACCTGAAACATAGAGACTCATTAAAGCCTCCGCTGGAGTGTATGTAACCGAGCAAACTGTGCCTGACGTGGGTGCTCACAGCTTTTGACAGAACGTTCACAAGCCCGGATCCCAGGGGTGCTCCGCAGAGAGGCTTCACCAGCGCGCCCCCTCCTCTCAGTAGACACACACAGCAGAGTGAGACCCCGAGGGAGGGCCGCTCACTCCTGTCTGCCCACCGGGCGAGGCACAGGCATGTACTGTCAGATATGCTTTTCTACGGGCAGCCAAACTTTGGTGGTTACACGAAACTACATGACCTCTTTAACCCTCATCTCTGAAGACTTTTGGCAGGCTTTTTGAAATGTTACCATTTCTGTACCCTCGGGTTCAAACTTAAACAGAACATGTGAGAAACTGTCACAAAGGTTGGTCTGAGGGCCAAGATAAAAAAAAGAAAAAGTTGTGACAATGTCCTCTCCTGGCAAATACAGATCCCTCCTTTGATGGGTGTTGAAGCCAAAACTAGCACTATATATACTGTGTATATGTACAAAAATTAGGGATGCTCCGATCGATCGGTCACCGATCGAGATCGGCCGATACTCACTCTACCGATCGATCGTTGCTCTCTAAACATGCCGATCGCGAGAGCCGATCGCATGACGTAAAATACATGACACTTTTCTCAGTGTGCGGCAAAACGAGCTCGCCAAAATGGCTTCACCGGTCTGGCATTATTTTAAGGTGTCCGAAAAAGACAGTAAAATAGCAGTATGCGAAGCAGAAATCCTGCAACTCTGCCCGCCGGACCGGTGAGTGGAGCGAAACACAGAAGAGTTAGACTTAACACACTTAGCTATTTTATCTACCTCTGGAACAAGCTAAATTAGTTATAAGTATAATTATTCTTCACTGTCGGGTCACTCATTACTGGATCAGTGAGCTGCATGAGATACTGACAGGCTGTCAGGAGAGGGAGAGAGGAAAAGAGGAAAAGAGAGTGCTTCCGCTCATTTCTCCCCTGTTACTATCCAAAGTGAATGTAAACTTGAATAATGTACATCATTTGAATGTAATAATTAAGTTGATTTTTGTTTGTGGAAGCTCCAGTGAATGAGCCCCATTAACTGAGTTTTAAACATCACTTTAAATGGAAGATTTAAAGTGATGTTTAAATCTTCCATTTAGGCCCCGCCCACTCGATCGGATCGGCGATCTGCGATGGCCCCCAAAATTGGCGATCGGAGCATCCCTAACAAAAATACAGGCTGTGTAGTTGTGCTATGTGTGTAAGTTATCTGTCAAATAAGTGACACAATATTTTATATTTTAAAACTACATGTAATTGAAGTCCCTTATNGACGACCCGAGAGTCTTATGTACTAGCCAATCATAATTTGTGTCTGCTACTGAGAGGGAGGAGGTCAGAGCACGCTCCCCTCTCCTGCAGGGGGGCGTGGTCAGCTGCAGCTCACAGAATCGGCCTTTTCTTTAAATATAATTTTAAAATGTCGATACAGAAGCCCCTTTTTTTAAATAGTTTTTATAGGTGTTGCTATCTGTTTTGTGTAATGTGGTTCTACAAGCAAGTCAGTGCATTCATGGGGTGGTATCAGAGAGTTACAAGGGTCTGTAAATGCAATGAAAACATTTTTTTTTTACTTTTACATTTTTACTTTTGAATACTTCAGTACAAAGGATGTATTGATTAATTTAAGTGATATATGTGTACACATAGGCCTATACATCATTCATTAGTCAAAACAGGGCTACATTTGATTTAATTATAAAAGGTATAATATGTGGTAAACTGAAGAGCCGTTTGGGAGCCGAAGGAGCCGGCTCTTCTTGGCGAGCCGAGCCAAATGATCCGGCTCACCAAGAAGAGCCGGAATTCCCATCACTAGCGTGCGTTGATGCTTGCCGTCGGGCATGTCTGAAGCTAGACCAACAACCAATCACCTGAATCTCCCGCCCTGGACACTCAAGCAGCGGTTTGATTGGATAGAGCTTGTACTGGCATATGATTCGATTGGCTGATGCTTCCGCCGAAGCTTCAAAAGTAGAACATTGCTCTTGCTACGCTTTGCTCCCACAATGCAGTTTGGCTAAGCGTGACGTCACCCCATTCAAAGTGAATGGGCAGAAGCGTTGAAGCTTCAACGCACGCCGCCGTGTGGACGGGCCGTTACAAGTTCACTAGTGCGCTGCAAAAGCTCTGACATGTTAACTAGTTACAAAAAAGAAGCAGAACTAGTTAACTAGTGGCATACATTTGTCTGCACTAGTTAACTAGTAGCACCCACAATCACTCACTAGTTAACTAGTAAAGGCAAAAGCTTCACTAGTTAACTAGTTGGCGCCTCTTTTGACCTTACTAGTTAACTAGTGGGGCTCAACATTTCTACACGTTAACTAGTGAACCTTTGCCCTTCACTAGTTAACTAGTGAGATACATTTAAATTCAACTAGTGAACTAGTGAGGCGTAAAATGTTCACTATTAGTACTAGTGGATCACAAATGTGCACTAGTCAAACTAGTTGCACAGAATGATAATGAGGAGGAGGGGAAAGAACGCTTCGAGGTCTCCTATTGGCCCTAAGCTATAGAGCACCACCCAGCCCAAAACATACAGTCAAACCATATTTACAAAAATATAAAACAAATGTATTTTTGTAATTATGATCATATGACTGTATATCAAATTAGGTAAGAACATTGAAGACTTTCTTAAAACTAGAAAGTTGCCTTAGGACTGCAGACAGGAATATAGATCCTCTTTAAAACATTTTATTAAGCTGCACAGCTGCCGTCTGATATCAAGGATATGGAATAAATACTCAAATGGCTTGCCATAGCCTTACATGTAAGAAAAATACGTAACATGTACGGTCAAAGTCTAACATGTTTATAACAGAACATAACAAACAAATGCCCTCCACTAGTTAACTAGTAAGAAAAACTTCTGATGTTAACTAGTGAGATAACGTGTGTAACTAGTTAAGAATGGACTTTTATTTTTTTTTATATAAACCAGCGATTAAAGTATCCTTATCCAGAGTATAGGGCCAACTATACAAAACCCAGAATTGTACAGAGAATTGTACATAGCCTACTAGAAGAAATGATCCACACCATCATTACCAAAACGGAAGCTGGCACCTCCAATGATTTTTTAAATAAAGCAAAATAGCTGCACACTCACTCTATCAACAAGGGCTATCCTTCCCTCAGAAATGATAATCATTGGCATAAATCCCAGAATAAACTAAAAGAAAGGAACAAAAAACTGTATCCTTGATGTAAATGCCCAGTTTTACTTCTAAATCAATGCTTGAAGAAGTAGCATAGTTGTCACTGTTCTCTTACAAATGTGCCCCAAACTACAGACAGTATTTAATGTGATTCTGTCATTTATAACCAAAAGAACCTCAGCATTGTTTTGGAAAATGTATGCATTATCTTCCTACATACCAATACTGGTTCGTTGACGTGTATACATCACACATGAAGAAAAAAGGATTTAAAAAAGGGACAATGTGTAAGAAAAGTTACTAACATCAACAACATAATGTCAAGATCAAACTCTGTAGACGTTGTCCACTTCTGTAGCTCCTGCCAATTATCAAAATGTACATGGGCTATATCCCCAGTTGCACATTTCACGATTTTCCCATTATTATTTTAAAGTTTTTGTCTTCAAAAAAAGTAGAGCATGATCATGCCAAACTGTCAAATAGCTTCTTTGAGTCATAATCTGAGAATGCATCAGTGGTTCAGGAATGTCAAAAAACCTTAGACAGCAGAATCCTTTACAAGATTGAAATCGTATGCAGAGCACTTTTACAGTTCATTAATATTCACAGCCATATGTCATGCTATTCAAATCCACTCCCCCCTTCCCCCCTCCCATCCCTTGAATCACATTCAAAACTGGCTGTGAGAATTAAAAGTGGTGCTCAAAATATGAATACAGGAGAGGAAATGTCATACAAGATAAGGGCTGGGTTTTGTAAAAAGGGCTAGAGTGATCTTAACATGGAAATGATCTCAGCAGGCGATGTAAGGGGAGAAATCAGCTTGTAAACATTTACACATGTAGTCATTCAAGCACACATGCTCTCCTGTTTGTACATTTTACATTTCAGCAATATTTTATTCATACAGAGTCAGAGAAAGTCACAAGCTGAATAACCAACCATCTATCTGCCTATTCATCCATCATCTGCAGCTACACAACTCTTTGGCAATTCATCTTTCTGTTTTAACACCATCAGTGTATTGACGAATGACTTTTCAGTGGAAAAAGCGAAGCAGAAATAGCGCACTCTGACTCAGAGCCTTTAATTGCTCATAGCGATTCTCTCCAGTTCTTTGGCCCTCTCAAACAAGCCAACTATACTTTTTAACTCATCCTTTTTAAAACATAAAGAGAAGTGTCCGTGCAAGAGAGCAGACATTTTGTCTCCAAATGTAGCCTTTGTCGAAGCCCCTCCTCACTAGGATCTGATCTGTGAGTTTTTAAATGCGTGGCCCGTGTGAATGAGACACTGCATTGCAGAGCTGAGTTTATAACAAAGAGGGTGTTTGTCATTCTGGACCATGCCTGGGTTCAAAGAAATGACATATTGAAGCATCTCTACGGTTTTAAGGGACCATTGTCTGCTATTTACAATGTTTGTATTTGTTTGTATTCATAAACTTTAAATCGTGGTATGTTGCAGCACTGAACACAGAAGTGATGATTCATTTTATAGTTGAGTTTCACAATCTTGTAGGATTTTCCTGCTTCAAAAAGTAATGGATGTTCGCAGTGGTGCGAAGTAACTAAGTACATTAACTCAAGTTCTGTACTTAAGTACAATTTTGAGGTACTTACTTGAATATTTCCATTTTATGCTACATTATACTTCTAATCCACTACATTTTAAGTAAGTAATTATTTTACCGTTTACTTCACTACTTTAGTTTGACGATTTGAGTTAGCTTTCATTTTGCAGGTTAATATTTTTAATAAAAAATATAAATCAAATAATAAATGATCATGTAGTGTTTTGAATTAAGATCATTTAAAATGAGCAACACATTAGGTAACTTTATCCAGCAATATAATATTATTTTTTGGGAAAATGGCAAATCAGCTCAACAAGTTATTTTAGATTTGGTACTTAAAGTATATTTGGATGTTAAATCTGTTTTTCTTTTAGTACAAATGTTGAATGCAGTAATTTTACTTGTAACTGTTATGGTGAGTGAAGGAAGCAGGACCCAAATGCAGATAACGAAGAAAATGCCTTTATTTCAAGGATAACCTAGACAACTTGGACAAAACAGAAAAGTCACCGGTGAACTCAGTCACAAACAAAAGACGAACCAACACTGAACACAGGAAGAGACAAGACTAAATACAGGGAGGGGTAATCACAAGACGAGAAACAGCCGGGCAGGGGAGGAGAAACACAAGGGCGACAGGTGAACACAATCAGACAACTAGACACACCAGGGAAACTAACGACAGGGAGGAAAAACACAGGAAGAAGGACCAGACAATATACAAAGAGGAAAACACCCATAACCAGACATACAAAACTAAAAACGTGACATAAAATGAGAATCGTGACACAAATGATATCAGATGATTTCCTTTAAAAAAGGCTAAACTTAAACTAATGGAACCTAATAGGGAAAAATCACCATTGTCAAGGCAGACAAAATGAAACGACCCGTCCTCAAGACAATAACCGAACAGGTCGCTCTGTCCTTGTCTTTTTCTGCCTTCGGTTTGCCTCTCACATTCACACATGCACCATCAGTGAAACATCCTGTATACTACAGTTGACCCAAGTGTCTAGATAATTGCATTAAATACTATGTGATTAAAGTCTTAGGGTTTCATATAATTATGTGCATATATTTGACATGTACAAATGCAAATGTTTCAATGTATAATTTCCCAGGAATTAATTTATTTCACAGTGCGGCTAGGTTGGATTTGTTTTCTCGCCATCACATCCCTGTATGAGTGAATTCTGTGTTGGTTTATGTGACAATCTTGCCCAGGAAAATCTTAACAAACAGATTTAAATCTGATAAAAACATTTTTGCAAGGATGAAGGCTGAAAAAAGAAAGAAAAAAAGGTGAAGGTAAAAAAAAGAAAGTGTTCAATAGAAACAGAAAATGTCTTCATCAGCCAGCAGCTGGACACCACATGAAGAGGTTTGTTTGCATGGAGATTCCTTATGTTGCAATGTGAGCAATAATGAATATTGCCACTTACACAGCAATGCAGAACATGATTTGACTAATTGAAGAGTCTTATCTCCTGGAGAAAATGATCTCAGCAGTTGTCAAGACACGATAAATAACAAAGTTAACCTGTGAGAGAATTTCCTGTTCTTTTATTGAGACGATCCATGCAGCAGGTGCAGACACCGGAGGCTCGGTCTGTCCTTCAGTGTACACACCGCTTATTAATAGAAGTTATATTCATACGAGTGCTCTGCTGTGACATTGTGGTCACTACATGAGACGCATAACAATACATTTATTATATTTATAATCAATTCTTATTTCTCAGTCCAGCTCCTTTCCTATTAATATGTTGCAGTGTATATTAATAATTGAATCAACCTGTATAAGTCGGATAAAACGTTATAGCTGAAATATGGTTAGTCCACCACTGTCCTTATAAACTTAAAGTACATTTTTATTATAAATGTGATAAGAATAAAAAAAAATACAAAAAGAATACAATGAACACATATTTCACGTACGAAAATTGTCTATTCACTGACTTTTCCTCAAGTCATATTCTCATGATATTTGTGGTTTTGAGTGAGATTTCTCATCAACTGTTAGATAATTACATTTGGTGCTGACGTTCATTGTCCTTTGATCAAGTTTTTGATTGAAAAAAACGGAAACAATCCAAATTCAAAGCTTGACTTTGTGTTCGCATGTTGAACATGGTACAACATAATACCTGCTTAACATTAGCATATTGACATTGTTGTTGTGAGTGTGTTAGCATTTAGACAAGTTTACCCTAACTGTAATCTACGTAACTGTACCCAAGTGCAGCCTTACTGAGCCGCTTGATGCCTAATCTTGTTAAAGAGTCCTTTTTATGCTTTTAAGGGTTTCCCTGTAGTGTGTTATTAAGCTATGTGTGTGCATGTAAATGGTCTGCAAAGGATAAAATAAAAAGTTGAAGTTTCTCTCCCACACACTCCCCCCGACCTGCCCGAAACTCTCCCATTGGACTCCTTTGTTTACTTCTGTAACATAGTGACATGACTATGTAACACTTGTGATTCTATTGGCTAGCGCTCCAAAACAGTGTACGTGATAGTTTAAGGGGCGGGACATCTCTTAGCGGTTGACCAATCACAACAGAGCCAGCCAGCTAACCAATCAGAGCAGACTGGGCTCTGGTTTCAGACAGAGGGTGAAAAAAGGTGCAGATGTCACAGAAGAAGCATTACATGCAAATATCAACCTGAAAATTAACACATGATGTCCTCTTTGAAGAATTAACAGAAAACTAATGTTTTTAGACTATTGTTTTTGTTGTTGTTGATAAGACATACAATCAGTTTACATTATATCTGTAAAAATGTGCTAAATGTATTAAGCACTAGGCTACTGCTGTTGTTGTGGTAACATAAAAAAAAATCAGCAGTCATAAACCTCTGATTTTTCTTCAAATCATTCTTGTGTTAAATCGACTGTGACTGGGATGGAGTACTTGCTGCATTTAGTTTGTGTTCATGTGGAACAATGGGCTGCTATTCTCAACTGGAGATGTGATTTGAGTTTGTATTAATGAAATAAAAAACGGACTAATGAAGCAGAACAAAAATTGACCTCTGTTGACACAAGGCCCTGTTATTGTCCGTCTGAATAAATGATCAATGCAAGTCATGCTGCTGGAGACCAGAACAATGATGTCTTGTGAGACTGTTGAAAGGTTTAATCCAATTCCACTGCTAGTTCATCACTCTTAAATGTCATGTGTAGGCTCATTTATCTTAACGCTTACATTTCTAATACTAGAAAGCCATTGCCACACGCAAAATGAGACAATGCAAGCTATTGTCTCACTCACGACCTATAGCCACTCCTGTCAGCTACCATGCTGCTCTGAAAGGCTGCATCCATCCATCACATTAACTGTAACTGACAATCAACGCCAATGCAGCAGCTTACCAGCCCTCATGAGGATTGTGGCTCTGTGGTTTCAGCTAAAAGAGAGGAGAGCGGTCAGCAGAAGGAGGTGGATCATTATGAAGAGAGCTCGGTCTGAAAGTCAAGGGAATAACATGTGTCAATTCTGAATGAGCTGTGGACTTTTAATGAAGAGCGCTTGTCAAAGTAATTGTCCTCTCGACTACAAAGACGTAGCTCATCATTGAACCAGAAAGGAAAAAGGGTGATTCTAAAGATGGAATTGCTTAGAAACTTGCATGCAATAGTAAAGCTTTGAATTAAGTTAAGGGATGCTGATGTAATATTATTAAATCATGAGGACACTTTTGGTTGTATAATGTTGAAAATATGAATCATGACAGTAGAAAGCATGATAAATCATGTTGTAGTGTATGCCATTTGTCTGACGTTGCTGCTTCTGCATTTTATAGCGGACATAAAGAATTTACCACATAATCTGGAATCAGCATGGCAATGCAATAAATGATTATGGTGCCGGTGCTAAAAATACAACTCACAATCATGTGACTGTTTAATAAACAGAAAGGGTCATCGATTGGAGTTGGACTGAAACAAGCCCAGGAGATTAGATCCAAATGAAGTGAGTTAATCAAAGGAGCAAGTTGCAGATAGAACATCCATATTATTGAAGTTCTATAAGTAAGAGGCATATATTTTACCTTTTGACAGGCTTCCTACTTACTGAGCCATTTCAGATCAGAACATTATTTTAGCTGGCTGAAATATAATGCGGATGGTACTGACTGACATGAGTTTTAATAATGAATTATTTGATTTACTCTTTATGTTTGGAGGAATGTTTGTGGCACAACATGTATAATATTTGGTTTAAGCTACAGGCATGAGCACAAAATGTGACACTGTGTCCCACCTCTGCCTAATCAGAGCAGGACAGTGAGAGACTGTAACAATTGTCTCTTTGATCACTTTGTAGTTGTTTTGTGTCTCTTAGATGTGCATCTTATATTTATTATATTGTGTCTCATCATAGACGTTTTGCATCTCTTGTGTCTTTTTGTGGTAGTGTTATGCCGTTTTGTAGTGTCCCATCAATTATGTTAAGTTGTGTCATGTTTGTGATTGTCATGTTCATGTTAGTTTAGTTTATGTATGTTCCACTTCCTGTTTTATTTTGTACTCACCTTGTCTCATTCGAGGTCCCTTTACTTCCTGCCTTGGTTCTTTTCCCCGCCATGGTCAGCGTCTGTCCCGCCCCTGATTGTTTCCACCTGTGTCCACTTACCTCATGTATATATTTTCCTGTCTCCCCTTGTTAGTTGTCGGTTCGTCTTGCTCCAAGAAGCCAGATCCAAGCCATCGCATAAGAGACTCAGTGTTTTTGTGAGCGCTTTACTTTTGACATTTTGTTATATCCTCTGAAAGAGTGATTTTTCAAGTAAAGATTATTTTCTTCAAACCTTTTTTGTCTCTGGGTTGTGCATTTGAGTCCTCTAAACTATTGAGTCAAGGCTCCTAACACGTTTTGTTGGCGTTTTTGTTTCTCTTTGTGTTCATTTTGCATCCCATTACAATGGTTTCGCATCTCTTGTGTCTTATTTGTGTCTTTTTGTTATCATTTCGCATATCTTTGTGGCCATTTCACATGGCTTTGTACGTGGCCCTGAAGTGCAAGACACCACAGCATTTCACAAAACGCCGCAGCATTTCAGAAAACCCGGCAGAATTTCAGAAAGCACCACAGCATTTCACATTGGACGGAAAGGGTATTCCTTTAGGGAGAACACTTCTTGTTTGTGATTGGACAGAGCCAGCCAGAGAAGCACTGCTGTGATTGGTTATTTTTGCTGCCAGTCAAGAAATGACGCTTCGTGATTGGTCAACGCCCGACAGCGCAATATGTCCCAACACATTCCGTTAGCACAAACTCAGAGCTCACAGCTCCTCATATCTGTTCAGAAACTGGACAAAAGTTAAACATGTACAAACCACAGACTGTCTGTGTCATGGCGAATACAGTCGCTGCTTTATTTATGTCTGTACGACGTTGTTGTGAGTGTGGACGGAGCAGCTACAGGTTAGTTTAGCCTGATGGATCCGATTCCATTCAGAAAACACGCATTTTAAAAGCTTTTCGCCTGCCGTCTGTCTGCAGACTTGTCAAAGCATTAATTCATGGTTTTTACTAACCGTTATCAGTATGTAGTTACTTCGGCATCACTTTGAAACGTGTATTACAATTACATCACGGGCAAATATGTTCATTTGGTTGTAGTTGGTATCTCCCATAGAATTTACATGGAGATACGCCCCGCCCCCTCTCCAGCGCGTCTTGTTTGAATGACAGGAGCAAACACAGCTGACAGAGAATCTTCGTGACGACACTACCAACAAAAAGACGAGGGTCAGTTCTTTAATGCAAATCGGGTGTTGTAGTCGACAATCGACAATCGTGGTGTGAGCCTCGAGTTCGAGGAGTATGTCCCGACGGTTGTGAGTGCGTAACTCGCACGTCTCAGTGCGGTCTATTGGGTATAGAGTGCGTGAGTGGCGGTGTGAACGGAAAAGGAGTCCGATTCAAAAGCAGGTTTTAGTTTACATATATTTTTTACATAACTTCCTTTGTCGTTTGGACTCGCCAGATCGCCTTTACCCCTGCCAGAAGACCGAATCAAGTCATTTCAACTTCGCTATAACCCTCCCTAATAATAAAGTACCTAGTTATTGAGTAACTTGTTTTTGCAATAAGTCTGTGTTTACTGCAGAGGATTCATGGCACCATTCGCAACGTTGATGTTAGTGTAAAACCTATTTTTTTTTTTTCGGGTTATACGCGGCAGGAGGCTCGACCCTGTGTAATGTTAACCAGAGATAGGCTGGCCTCCTTCTTTGCCCACGCGTCCCCCTGCAGCGTTTCACGTTGTGAGGGTTTTTTCACGTTATGTTATTAAAGTTAGTGATAATATGTAGAGAATGATGGATTTGGGTTATGTGTGTTAGTTTATCAGAGGACACCCAGTATGATGTCGTTCCTCAAACCTGTCCATACGAAAACTTATTAAAACCCTTATAACATATTACATTTTAGAAAGTTATTTATACCGTAGTAGAATTTATTGAAATGATAATTGTCAATATAAGATCAGATGAAGTAGAAACAGATATAACAACAACAATCGTAGACGATATCGATCCGACGTATATGTTTTTGTCTGACAGATACAGTACCGCTTATGTGCAGGCGACGAAATAAATACAGACATACTGCAACAACACTCACACCTGCCTCGTCGATGTCCAATCAAATCGGGTCGCAAAGAGTTTCACCACCCCGTCGCGGGCTGAACCACCCCGCGTCTCTACACCTATCCACCCAGTGCCTTTATGTTTTTTTTTTTTTTTTTAAATTAAATTTTTTTTTTTTAAAAGTGTGACCACCTTATAGTTTTGTTGCCGGACGGGCCCCACGTTTTTCGTAGTTCTTTCGCCCTGGGAGATGGTGTGTTTTGTTGTGACATTTTATTTGGTTAAACACAAGAAAACTTTAACTTTTTCCTATAACGTAACACAAAACAAATGAAAGCAACCGTCAACTCAGTTCACATTAAACCGTACGAAAATAAAACTCCGCTCAAATGCGAAACTGTCACCAACAACGAATACCTTTTGTTCTGGTAATGAGAGAGCAAGTCAATGATATCGAACGGGAGACACTTAAGTACGACCTGCAGGTTAGTCGAGGACAGTAGTGGAGCGTCTCTGTTCGAAGAAAAGTAAATCTGTGAAGTGTAAGTTTGTAATTTGACTTAATCCGTCTAAGTTTCCTAAATAAAGAAAACCTTTACATAAAATTTTATGTTAAATTAGTTCAAATAAAAGAGCCATCTTGAATTACCTGTTTATAATGATTTTGTATTAAAAATTTTTTTATATATTTTCGTTTTATATTAAACAAAATTACAAAATTTATGATAAAACACTTATTAGAATCCGGGAGTCTCTGTCCGCGAAGCGCGAGTGACCATTTTTGATGTGGTGTACACTTTGCGAGAGGTGTCTGTGTGTGTTCGTCGCACCTCAGCCCTTCTTTTCGTTACACCTCGCCCTTCCTCTTCTCCTCTCTCGTTACTCTGCGTTCTTTCTCCTCCGTGTGGGAACCAAGCATAAATTATTTCAATATTTTTATTTCATCCTTAGTAGGTTACACATGATTATCCTTCATTTTTCAAATTTTCCCTCCCTAATCAGTTAATACGTATTTATTTTTCTTTCTTACGATTGATCCATTGTATTTCTATTCTTAATTTGTTCATTTAATAAACAACACTAGCATAAGATTTCTACAAACCTAATAACTTTTCATATGTAGAGGGGAAAGGAGACTCACAACTCTCGACTATAGGTATTTAAGTACAACCCGAGTTTCAATCCCGACGATGCTAAATACCGTTTTTAAGTATTAGAAGCTAAATAAACGCCAGTTTTGACATATAAGTGCTAATAATTTTTGCTATATTGGTAAAGACAACTTTTGTAGTTAAATAACTTCTTTATTAACTTTTCATACAAAAGGTTGTCAACTAATGGGACTTGAAATTCATATTAAGTTGACTTTTTTTATTTTAACAAAATAAAGCTAATACAGACAAAAGTATTAGCAACGGTTCGGTTTTAGCATTAACGCTAAGTTTTATACTAAATAACTCGTCGGGATCGAGTTTCACGTGTCTAACTACTAAATTGAAGTTGTAATTTTTTGTAGTAGGACCCCCAAGTACGGCGCCTGGGATCTGATTCTCTACAACTGCAGGTGGTGGTTTATTTCGTCCAATTTATTTAATTTAACTTATGTAAAATAAAAATCATTTGGACTTTTGCCCAGGTGTCTGGGTAGTCTGGGTTTGTCGTTTTGTTTATCTCAATTTCCATCGTATATTATTACAATTTTACACGATTTTTATCATATATGAACGTTTTTTTGTTTTCTCCTCATTTTCATCAGTGGCTAAACAAATAAAAAAACTTTCATCGAGATTAAGTATTTTTTCCAACCTCCTGGGCGACAATACTTTTATGTAAACTGTTAAACTTCGCAAACCGATGGTAAAATAACCTCGCTACTCCTTGTCCACCCCGAACTTTTCCGGGTGCGACAAGTTTCACCGCCTTACTGTCTTTTTCAAACTCTATTGGTGACCAAATCGGACTACCTAGGCTAGGGCTAATCCTAAATGTACCTCTATGCGGGGCGGGGGAGAGGGTCGCAATACAAACTTACTGTCGTCATTTGTGCTTAAATTACGAAATAATTAAAGTACCAAAAATTCCCGAATGGAGGTACATTTATATACCATCTATGGGTTATAAGCGTCAGCGAGATTAGCGAGCTACAA